TGGGTCTCTGGTCTCCACCTTTCCAACATTGCAAGAATGAACTTCGAATCAATTGTACAGTTGGAGATCTTTATAACATGTCTGAAACCTGCATATTCCAGATATGGTACGATAAATGGGTCCGAAGCCAGGTAGTTGTGAGACCGGGTTCTGAATCTTTTGGTATCCTGAGTTAATAATGTAAAAGGTGTAAGATTAAGTAAGATGAACAAAACATTACCTGAAGTATAAAAAATGTATAACTAAAATAGAAACTTACAAATGCGGCAATGTTGTCCCTTGTGCCTCTGTGAGAATCGCCCATTGTGAGAAGAGCCATTGTTGAAAATGCCTGAGATTATGAAAGACTTAGAAAGTGTAAGAGATTATGAAAGACTTTGTAGCAGAGACTGAGACGATTGTGGGTGTGAGAGAAGTATGGTATGCTCTGTATTTATAGGCAAAAAAATTTCATAGAGTAAGTGAGGTGGTAGCTGGTGCATGCATGCATGATAAGTGTCACTCTTCCAGAGTAGGCGCATCTAGGTGGCAGCCTTGGAGAAGGCATCTCTGCATGCATGTAATACGATTGGACATTAAGGGAGACACCATTGGACTTGGCGAATGAGTTCAAAAATTAAAGTTGTCGCCATCCCCATTGGAGAATAAGAGGTGTCACGGGTTACAGAGTAGGCGCATGCTAGGTGACAGCCTTGGGGATGCCATGCCTGAATGCATGTAACACTATTAGAGGTGATGGGAGAAGACTTACAAGTAACATTGTAGGTGCTGAGTAGGCGCAGGCTAGGTGGCAGCCTTGGAGAAGGAATCTATGCATGCATTTAACACGATTGGACATTAAGGGAGGCGCCATTGGACTTGGCAAAAGAGTCCAAAAATTAAAGGTGTCGCCATCCCCATTGGCGAATAAGAGGTGTCATGGGTTGCAGAGCAGGCGCATGCTAGGTGACAGCCTTGGGGATGCCATGACTGAATGCATGTAACACTATTGGAGGTGATGGGAGGAGACTTACAAGTAACAGTGTAGGTGCAGAGTAGGCGCAGGCTAGGTGGCAGCCTTGGAGAAGGCATCTCTGCATGCATGTAACACGATTGGACATTAAGGGAGGCGCCATTGGACTTGTCGAAAGAGTCCAAAAATTAATGGTGTCGCCATCCCCATTGGCGAATAAGAGGTGTCATGGGTTGCAGAGTAGGCGCAGGCTAGGTGACAACCTTGGGGATGCCATGCCTGAATGCATGTAACACTATTGGAGGTGATGAGAGGAGACTTACAAGTAATAGTGTAGGTGCAGAGTAGGCACAGGCTAGGTGGCAGCCTTGGAGGTTACAACCTTAGTTAATTCAAATTCAGTATGATCTATTTAGTCTTACATTTATCAAAACTCCGATTCACTTAATCTGTCAAACCTTGCAACCTTCAAACCTTCAAACAATCAAACCTTCAAACCTTCAAACAATCAAACATACAAACCTTCGAATAAGTCATAAACTTCAAACCTTCCAACCTTCAAACCTTCAAACCTTCAAACAATCAAACATACAAACCTTCGAATAAGTCTTAAACTTTAAACCTTCCAACCTTCAAACCTTCAAACCTTCACACAACCATACGCAATGGCCTATGCACCCCAATATGTCATCAATGCATATTTCAACGGTGAGACATACATTTGTCCCACCTCTGGGTTCTTGTTTAGAGACACATACAACATCCGATTTCTTTTAAACGGGAAAGCCAATTTCTCGTACTTCAAAAAACGTTTGGAGGCCAAACTTGGACGAGGCCCGATGACACAAATATTTTATCAGAATCTAGTTTTTTGGAAACAACCAAATAATATTTTATAAGGTTGAGGTTCAAGATGACGAGGATCTTCAGAATATGTTTTCCAGCCATGTGTATTCTGGGTATGACTCTATTGAGTTGTACATTATGCTGCGAAAGCCTCAGGTGACACAAGTGGTTGATCCTTTGGAGACCGAACAAGCAGAGGTAGATGCAGTTGATGAAGAAGAAGAAGATGACGAGTTAGAGTTTGATGAAATGGTGAATGATGATTCCGATGATGATGGCATACCTAGTATTCCTGCAAATGAGATCTACACACCACCTCCGCACATGACAAACTTCAACATGGGCGGAGATGAACCGTCTTCTAATTTTTTTTTAATCTGTATATGCAGTCGGATGAAAACTTAAAAGAGAAGGACAAGTTTCGTAACAGAGAGGAATGCATCAGAGCCATTAAAAAATTCCACATGCTCAACTCGGTCGATTTTAAGGTGGACCGTGTCAACCCAGAAAGGTACAAGATCAAGTGTGTCCACCCTGACTGTATGTTCAAGCTCACTGCATCATACAAATTAAGAGGTGATTGTTGGGTCATAGGTTCCATGACTACCCACACTTGTGTCAGTTCTACCCAATCACAGGACCATCGAAAACTTAATTACGATCTCATTTGTCAAGAAATCCTACCACTGGTCAACAACGACCCATCTTTGAAGGTGAAAACCATCATCTCCCACATCACCACAGTTTTTAACTATACTCCGTCTTACCGTAAGGCGTGGTTAGCAAAGACCAAGGCGATTGAAAAGGTGTACGGAAACTGGGAGGAGTCATACCAAGAACTTCCTTGCTACCTTAATGCACTCAAGACTTATTCTCCGGGTACTGTTTACATTCTGGAAACAGTGCCAGCATACGCCCAAGATGGTAGTCAACTAAACGGAAACAGAATATTTAGTCGAGTGTTTTGGGCATTTCAACCTTGCATCACAGGGTTTGCATCATGCAAACCAATTATACAAATTGATGGGACTTGGTTGTATGAGAAATACAAAGGCACTCTACTGATGGCAGTTGTACAAGATGGCAACAACAACATTTTCTCAATTGCCTTTGCTCTAGTCGAGGGGGGGACCGGTGGTGCTTAGAGCTTTTTTTCTAAAAAACCTGCGAACACACGTGGCTCCTCAACCAAATCTCTGTTTGATCTCGGACAGACATGCCTCCATTGAAAATGCCTACAATAATCCTGCAAACGGTTGGCATGACCCTCCTTCTATGCATGTCTATTGCGTTAGGCATATCGTCCAAAATTTCACGAGGGAGATCAAGGACAAAACACTAAGGAAAACGGTTATGAATGCGGGATATGCATTGACACAACCCACATTCAAATATTACCGCTACGAGATCCGTTTGTCAAATCCGGAAGCCGGTAGGTGGATCGACAATATTCTAGTGGAAAAATGGACTAGGTCATACAACAATGGCCAAAGATGGGGGCACATGACAACGAATCTTATTGAATCGATGAATGGGGCATTCAAAGGCATACAAAACCTCCCGATCACTGCTTTGGTAAAATCTACATATTTTAGGATGACTTCGTTGTTTGCCAAAAGAGGTGAAATATGGAATGCGGTGTTGCAATCTGGACAACTATGGAGTGAAAGCTGCATGAAGTACATTAAGGCAGAAAGTTCCAAAGCCAACACTCATATGATTATACGGTTTGACCGACACAGCCACAACTTCATTGTGAAAGAGACAATCGACCACAATAAAGGCCTGCCAAGACAAGAATATAGGGTTATACTACCTTCTCGTTGGTGCGATTGTGGCAAGTTTCAAGCCTTTCGTATGCCTTGCTCTCATGTCATTGCCGCTTGTGCTTATACCCATCAAGACGCGCTACAACTTCTGTCACACATTTACAAATCTGAAACGTTTCTCAACGTTTACAACAACAACTTTCCTTTGGTAGCAAAACCAGATTATTGGCCTGCATACGACAGCGAAATAGTGTGGCACAATGACCAAATGCGAAGGAACAAGAAGGGTCGTCTCAAAAGTAAGTGCATCACAACCGAAATGGACGACCTTGACAAGCTGGAAAGAAAGTGTGGTTTATGCCGTCAGGTCGGACACAATCGCAAAAATTGTCCGAATCGGGCGTCTGCCTCGACCACATAAAAATTGTAATACATAAAATCTTTCCTTTATTTTGTTGTAAACATTAGGGTTTTTCGTTAACAGTATTTGCTACAATAAATATTGCGCGTACAAGAAATAAAACACGATATTCCGTCTACGAAATTACAACTGTTAAAACAATTTCAGCTGACCCATGCATCATCAATATTACGTCGCTGTCTGTTTTGACTTCCTCCAACCACACATTAGGTCTTTCAGTCGCATGTGAGGTTGTTGTTCGTCTTTGCTGGATCCTTCGAATTTTCCCCCCTCCACAATGTCTCCATCTAGCCATCACATCAACTCCCGCTTCAGACGCTCCATGGAGTGAATGTGCCAGAATTTCATTTTCATCGCAGGTTTCGTGGCGGAGAAGATAACGTAACCATCTTTGGTAAAAATCATGGGCGATGTCATGACGCAAATAACAGAGTAAAAAAAAAAAAGAAAACAGTGCGAGAAAGTGTGAGAAATGACGGAGAAACAAACAAATTATTTATAAAAACAACATTTTGCCCTAGGAGCCAAGTGAGATGGCGCCTCCTCTCACTTTTATAGTGCATGCGCCATCTCACTTGGCTAAAAGAGAGAGGAGGCGCCAAATGAGATGGCGCCTAGGGCAAAACCCTAGGTGGAGGCGCCAAGTGAGATGACTCCTCCTTTGGGAAGTCATCTGAAACATGGTTATTTGCGTAATTTTTTTCAAAACGTAGTTTTTTGCGAAATTTTTTTTTAATACATGATTATTCTAAATTTTTTTTTCAAAAATGAGTGTTGAATAATTTTTGTGAATGTAGATAGTGTAATGCGAACAATGAAGGAGCCAATAAGGAGTAAGGAGTGCAGCGGGCAAAGAGTCTGATACGGGGACAGGTAACATCCATACATTTACTAGTGAGGTGTAATTAATTGATGCAGAGAGGATGAGGCGCAGGAATCCGGTTCCCATTTTTTATGGTAACACCACTTCCTTGATTCAACTATAATGTAACCACTTGTTTTTCACACTCAAATGAGTTTACGCCTCCTCACCCCCAATTTTCTCCCACGCAACTTCTCTCATTACACACCACCAAGGTTCTTTCTCTTCATCCCTCATTCCCTTCCAATACTGCATGCCTCATTCTTCATTAATCTTGTCTTTTTCTTTCAAGGCTCTCGTTTTCTACATTTTCTTCTGCCAAAATGGAGCCTGTCAATTCGGCTTCGGAATTCACCGTGCCTGATCCTCTTTTACTCCACACTAAAATCGCCGCAATTCGTTCAGCCGGTCCTCAAAAGATTCAGGTTTTTTTACCCCTTTTTCATTCAAACAATAATGTCGCATTTTACAACTTCTAAGACTTGTATTTTCATGTTTGTAGGTGATTGCTGATTTTGATGCCACATTAACTAAGTTTTCGGTTAATGGAACTCGTGGCCAAAGTATATCTATATATATATATTTCCCCTTTTCTTCTCCCTGAAATTTTCTATGTATTATATAAACCTAATCGAATCATTTGTAGCCAGCCATGGCCTTTTGCAGCAGGATAATCCAGAATATAATGCCAAAAGGCAGCACTTATATGAACATTACCATCCATTAGAATTTTCTCCTACTCTTGGACTTGAAGAAAAAAGGAAACTCATGGAAGAATGGTATATCACTCGGTACCCTAGACCAGAATTTATAATACTCTCGCACACACTACACCAAAACCATTCACGCTATACCCTGGTTGGTGGTATAGTGATATTCAATATTCACATTAATGTTTGCTGCTGAAACTTAAAATTTGATTTATTATTAGGTGGGGAAAAACGCACGGTCTTCTTATGGAGGGAGGACTTACATATGAATCAATTAAACAGTCAGTTGCTAATGCTAACATTGCTTTTAGGGAAGGTGTTTCTGAGCTTTTTGATTTTTTGGAGGTATATTTTCTATCCTGCCTTGGCAAATATGAGTTCTTACATCTTGACAGTGCCGTCTCAAGTTTTTGGAGGCCCTATGTAAGTTAGTCGTGATTTAACCATGACAAAACTAATAGAGGCCCTATTAAACCACGTTTTAACTGTGACAATGTTTTTTGAGGCTCTATTTAGCCACAGTTTAATCTTCAAAGACGGCCCTGCATCTTGATATAATCATCATATATCAGGAGAACTTGTGAAATGTAATATATCTATGATATGTGAAGATTCAATTGCTTTTGATATTGAATTTTTCCATTTTGTTATTTTCAGGAACAAGACATTCCTGTCTTAATATTCTCTGCAGGGCTTGCTGATATCATTGAAGAGGTCTGAAAAGTTCATTTTATTTTATGTTGGCAAGGTTACTGAGCAGTTTCTCTTCACTTTCTTGTCTGATATTGACCGTGCCTCTCAATCTCTATTTGTCACTTTTTATAATAATAACAGGTTCTAAGACAGAAGCTTAAAAGATCCTTCAAAAATGTGAAGATAGTATCGAACAGGATGGTCTTTAATGACGATGGTCAACTTGTATCTTTCAAAGGTGATTCTATGTTACCAACATTTTTTATTGTGTATTTGTTTGCTTTTCATCTTGATGTTTGTGTCCAAATCCATCTTTCAGAGGCTAAGGCTTTACATAACTGCTCTTAGGTTTCACTATTATTAGAGAAAAGCACATTTATTATTTGTTTCTGTTTAAGCACTGGTGAATGAGTCTGGTGAAAAAGTATGACAAGATCAACAATGTCTTTCATTATGAGTTATGACTTCCTAACAAACAAGGAGGTTAATCGATGAAATGTCAGTCAGGGTTAGGTGGAAATTTTGAAACATGCGAAGGTTAACTGTTTACTTTCATATAGAGTTGCTTGCCTTGGAAGAGAACAAGGTTGTGTGGTTTTCCCCTTTCACATTTGGAAACTTTTCCCGTTTATTTTTTTATGACTTGTTCTTCTTTACTATGTGTTTTCGCTCTTCTTAATTTCATAGAGATGGAAATTTATTCTGATATTCCTAACCCAACACTAATTAGTGGTAAAAAACTATCTTATGCTAATTACTCAATACTCTGTCACTCACAGAAGTTAACAAGGTATTCAACTACAGTAACCTCAAAAAAATTGCAGATTGTCTTTGCTACAAAGAGTCTTGGGCCATAAAAAAATTAATAAATGTCTAACTGTAGTTTGATATTGGCCTTCACATATCCTGAATTGGAACTTTAAAGCTTGTGGCTGAATTGAAAGAAACATTTCATATACACGTGTTTGTTGATAATTGGAATGGAATTGGGGTATTTGAGATAAAGAACTTGACACGAACCGGTTCTTAATTTTTTCTTCTAAATTTTAATTACAGGAAAGTTGATTCACAGCTTAAATAAAAATGAGCATGCTCTTGATATGGCTGCACCTGTTCACGAACACTTTGGTGATATTGATGTTCCAACTGATGACAATGAATTGCTCAAGAAGAGAACCAATGTTCTCCTTCTTGGTGATCACACTGGAGACTTAGGAATGTCCGATGGTTTAAATTATGATACTCGAATTTCCGTGGGATTTTTGTAAGTAAAATATTTGCTAGACTCGAGTAAATTGCTAGGATGATACATAAATTTGAGCTCAATTAATGTCTATTAGACATATTTCAATATGACCTGATCCCTGCTTCTTTTTCTGTCATTTTGAATTGTTGCAGGAACCACAACATTGAGAACTCACTTAGCATCTACAAAGAAGCTTTTGATGTTGTTTTATTGGTAAGTTCATTAGATGGATAATAACATATCCTTGGATTCCTTGTTTCTTCCAAATTTTGTAAGAGCAACCCTATTACTATTGACTTCTACAAGTGTGTCTGCAATACTGAAGAATTACATCATATTAAACTAAACTAATTCATAGAACTTTATGTTACATTGAAGTAAAATACCAGGTAAGAGATGATTGATTAGCTAATTGTAACTTGAAAATTACTTTTTCCTGCAGAATGACGCACCTATGTGGGAAGTTATCAAACTGGTCTCTCAGATGTGTTCGAGTGAGAAGTGATTGTTTGCAGAATTCATATATTCTTAGCAGTATCATCTTTTATTTTTATCCTACACATCCCAAGGTTCCTCTTTAATTCCCCTTATGAAGAATGCTAACAAGTAACAAATCACTCCTTTGACAAGCTTTGATGATTAGTTAGTTATACAAGACATAGTTTTATTTACTCCTATGCATATCTGTATGGCACACAAACTGCAGTTTCAGTTGTGAGGAGTCAGTTCAGTCTGTTCGTCGCAGTTTTTTTTGCTTTTCTGTGCATAACCCTTTCACAGGTTCCATAAAAATTTAGAGCACGGAAATATTGATTGCATTAAACCAGAACTATCTATAAGAATTTGAAGTTTTAAGGCATTATGAGTATTTTTTTGTTGAATAGTTATTCTAGAATTGAGCTGTTTGGGACTTGTTTGTTTCCCCTGTCATTTCCTCTCGGCCTATTTATATCCAGTTTATGCCACCAGCAACTTGGCTGGCCTATTTACATCCAGTTTACGCCACCAGCAACTTGACTGACTATCTACAAATATTGATGGGTGCGGGTTCTCAGACAGGCTTACGGGGACGCGAGTTTAACTGTCATGTCTAATTCCAACTTCCAGTAGAGAGAAGGTTTAGTTATTTTAAATTCAGAATTTGAAATTTGCAATTTCAGTTCAAATTTTTAATAGTCGAAAAAGTTGAAAAGCAAACCCTCTATTGAAAAGCCAAAAATTGTTTCTACAAGTTGAATGCATGTGCATTGAAATTTCACCATAGAAACAAATATAGACTAAACCTTAATATGGGCATGAATCACAAACAGGAGTAAGGAAACAAGACACTCTCCAGAGTATTTTCATAATACAATTTGTTTTATGGATATACCAAACTAATTAGATGCAACACATTGATACCAAATTAATTGGATGCAAATTAAGTTTATTTAATTTATATATAGTTTCATTTCACTTGTCTTGACTCTTGAGAATCCTCAAAGTGAGCTCCGAGGCTGCGGATTATGCAGATGTTCCTTGAGAGCAAGTACAAATTCAGCTTGCTGAGAAATTGTAAGGAGACGACAAAATTGATGCAAGAATTCTTGGCGAAGATTATCAGCCTCTTTAAAGAAGCATAGTTGTTGAGGTACATACGTCAATTGAAACTCTTCGCCATTTGCTGTTGTTGATTTATCAAAATTTTGCTTGAGTTTTACCATGCCTTGTGCAAGAGCATATTCTGCTTGTTGACATGATTGTCCAAGATTATAAATATCACTAAGTTGTTGTTGGGTGTAAACGTGTTGAAGTTGAGGCAGAATCACCTGTATATATCCAAATTAAAGCACATATAGTACTTATAAGAAAGCATAATTCAAATTTGTAGTTGTAAATCCACGTTAGATGAGTGGTTTTGTTAGATTGAGTTAGTCTAAACTCAAATTCTAAGAAGTTAAGAGTCTATTTATGATCTATTGGATCACCTGCTAACATGTCAACACTTTCGAGCCACTCGATAATGCTCCAGGTGTCATGAGCTTGAGAGTGTGTTAAAAGTCTCACACTTGATAAGATAAAACATGAACATGTATTTATAAGTGGGGGCAGTTTTCGATCTATAAAACAGTTTTCTTTTGTATATGTTTCTAACTAATTCTATTAGTAATTACCTGAAGAATTTGAGAAGGACGAAAGCCTCCAATCCACCATTGATTGCTTTCACATGTTATGGCCGAACCAACATTCAAGACATCTACATAATGTTTCATGATTGTGTTTATAACTAACTGTAGCTTGTCATCCTCAATAACATGGTTGTGATCATTTAGAGCTTTATGTATCACAGAAATAAGCTTGTTCTGTTCTTCAGACGAAAGTGCATACTTTTTCACAGGAATTATGTTTCCTGCAGAATTCTTACCTCTGTTAGCTTTTTGGAGTATATAGTATACAAGAAATAAAGAAAGTGCTTACCAAACCAATATAGTATATTTTAATTATTTTTATGACGAGAAATTTTTATATACTCTCACCATTACTCTTGAAGACTTCTCCTTGAGCATTTGTCTCTTTCATGGGTTTGTTTACAAGTAGCCAAAACTTGTTTGAATTGGAACTCAAGATTTCCTTTGAATAGAGAGGCAATCACAAGCACTTAATTTCATAATGCACCAATGAAAATGGGAAGAAGTTAAGAGTGTATATATATAACTAAAAAGTGAAATAAGGTGACCAAAAAGCTTTATATGCTAGATCCTATTACCTAAGTAAAATACCACATCATCCCCCACTTATGTACAAAAAAGGGTACACTACACGTATATTAACCATTCATGTCGTCAGTCATCATACATTGCTAAGATTTACTGAATATTTGAGAATCTCCAAATCATTAACCAATATATGTATATACTTTTGGCCTTTCAAACCATGATGGGATGTAAGTATCATCACTTAATATTTGAGAATTTCTTGGGAAAAGAAAAACCCTATGTAATTAAAATGTTTTTTTAGAAATCGAAAAAATATTTTTGGTGCGTACCATACACTACACGCAAACAGTTTAAATGTGGTTTCACCCTATCTAAAAGGCAAAAATAAAATCTGAATTATAGTTTCGATTATAATCAGTATTGTATTTTCTGGTTTGTATAGAAGGAAGATTGAATTTTTTGTTACCTTGTCATTTTATATATTACTGGAAATATACTCTTGGTATTTATGGAAATTGCATATTACTTCTGGTGTATTCATTTGTGAATCATGGACTGAAACACTTAATTAAGAGGGAATTGTTAATCTCACTGTAGGGTATGTTTGAATTTGTGGTATGAGATGGAATGAAATGGAGTGGAGTGATAACTAAAGATAATCTACTGTTTATATTTACAAATAGTAGATGGAATGGAATGAAATGAAACATGATGGGAATCCATTCCACCCCATTCCTTCCGATTCTCTATTTTTTGTTCCATCTATTTTGGGGTGCATGTGTTTGAAAGAGACAATTTTAATAAAAAAACCAAACAATTAAGTGAGATTCATATTCCATTCTGTTGCACTCCATTCTGCTCCGTTATGTTACATTTTGTCCCGCTCTGTTATGTTTCATCAATCCAAACATAGTCTAAGAGGTGGAAAACATCATATGAAAATTCAAAAATGCTTATTTGATTCCAGAAATGCATCCCCGCGCTCCCTGAACCTAACTAAAACAGGTCCAAACTGAGTATCACCCATTATATTTTTTCAATATTGATTCCACATATGCATCTCCAGAACTATTTCATGTGCACCTCATACATTCTTCATTAAAATACCCCTTTTTGACATAACCTAATCCGAAGATGCATCTTTGTATTCACACCACACATAATTCAGAGATGCATTTTAGAAATTACACCAGGCATTAATTTTGGACTTTGATTTACACATGCTCTGAAGATTTTGACGATATATTATATTTATAATATCAATTTCAATTTTGTATAGATTAAACTTGATGTAGGAAGACTGGTTGCACATATCAAAGAAGAAGTCGTGTGTTGGAAAGGTTTGGTAGGAATTGTGCAGGTTTGACATCTGATATTAGAATGACTATAATTATACCTTTTCTGGATAGATAATCGACTCACGAATCCAACCCATTGCATTGTAGTGATACATGGGCCTTTTATGCCACCCGAGTTTGTTTCAGGCGTGTACAATATTTTAATATTTTCTACGATTTTCTATTTTATTTTTGTTTTGGATTAAAAACTCATTAGTGTTTCTTTTTAAGTATTTAAACACCTTTGGGTGTGACCATAAAGGTTATCTTTGATCATAATAAATCTAAGTATTTTCTCTATTGATGGATTTCAAATCTTTATCTGATAAGTTTGCACAAAAGAGCCTTATCTGAGGAACTCGACCTTGGGTTTTCTTCTTGATAAAGAGCCTCATTTGCTTGATACTCATAAATATCAACAACATTGAAAGTATCAGATATATTCATGAAATTCAAGAGAGTTACCATATAAGTATTATCATTGATCTTTCATGTCATTTTGAATGGGCCATACTTGTGTGGTTGCAGGTTGCTGTAAGTACCAGCTAGAAACCTCTCTTTATGCATAAACACAATCACATCGTTTCTCATATTGAAAAATTTAACTTTCATGTGTTTATCTCGCACAAGAGACAAAAAATTTGGTAGTTCATCTACGGCTAACTCCTTAAAATCCTATAGGATCTCTATCACTTCTTCTGAAATTGTTGTTTCCTCGTTTACAACACTCGTCAGCCCTTTAATCACAATTGGACGGAAAAATTCAATTTCTTTAACAGTCTCATCAAGTTCCTTTTCACTTTGCGTCATCACTAATAAAATAAACTTCTTTTCTCATGGATTCTTATCAAAGTGTAAAATAGGAGCCATGTCAATTTTATGTGTTTCCCATGTAAACAGCATCACGTTATCCCGTTCTCAATAATTCATATCATTATCAAACTGCCAAGCCCTACCGAGTAAAATATGACAAACATCCATATTAAGAACATCACAAAGCATCTCTTCTCTATAATGCTTTTCGATGGAGATAAGAACTCTACAGACTACTGTTACTCAAACTTAGAATCTTTTTTTTACTCAACCGATGGTGTATGGCTTCTTATGAGGTTCTATGAACAACTTCAAATGATCTACCAATTTAAATGACACCAGATTCTCTATGTTGCCGTTATCCACAATTAAATTACACACTTTATTCTTGATAGAACAATATGGTTTCAACAAATTCTTGTGTTGCCATTCATCTTTAGATTCTAGTAACATCATGATTGCTTCCATTATGCGGAACCCTAATTGCCTCCCCTTCATGTCTCTTTGTTGGTTCCCGTTGTTGTTGGTGTTGTTTACCTGATTTGTTAAATCTGTCATTTATTCAGTCAAAGTAGTTATGGTCGTGGTAAAATCCACAATAATTCCCTCAATGTCTACTCTGGTGAATGATTGATCTCCTATAGCCGATCAAGCTACAAAAAGAAATAAGAGAAAACCTACTATGATCCCACTTGAGGATCCAACTAATATGATCACCTTAATATGCAACAATGATCCCACTTGAGAATCCGGGAAATATGACTGCCTTATTGGGCTATCTTATCTTAAATATTTAAATTTCCTACAAAGAAAGAAACAACCAAACATGTGGATTCTAAAATAATAAGGGAAAGATGCCTCATTAAAAACTATTGCCTTATGTAAAAGCATAGAGGGAAAAGTGCATCGTGCAAAATAATTTTCTCCTTACAATCGACAATGATGTAATACTCGCCAATGAAAATTAATAAAGTAAATTAGTAATAATTATAAGGCAGAATACCTTTTTTGGTCTTGTACGTTAACTCAAGGTTCATTTTGGTCCCTTAACTTAAAAAAGTTCATATTGTTCTCTTAACATTTCAAAATACTTCGTTTTAATCCTTTTTGTCTAATTAGTGACGGGAAAAAAATCCGAAATCGGTCGCTAAATTCCTCACTAATTAGACAAAAAGGACTAAAATGAAGCATTTTGAAGAGTTACGGGACCAACATGAACCTTTTTTAAGTTAAGGGACCAAAATTAACCTTGACGTTAACATACAGGACCAAAAAGGGTATTTTGCCTAATTATAAAGTAAATAAATGTTGCATCGACGTATCTAGATAGGTTCCCTTCCGGACCTTAAGCTTTCAATCTCTTTCGTGGTTGGAGAGGAAGTCTCTTCGCCTTTATGGAATTTCTCTGGTGGCTTTATTCCCGAACTCATCCTTCAGCATTTCCAGATCGGAGGCTGACCCTCTTCAACTTGAGGCTTTCCGTGTAACACTTCATGGAGATATCTTGATCTCCTGGTATAACTTACACTTATCCGTTGGGGAGAGGAAACTTCATGCACAAATAGAGATTAGACAAGACGACGCTCAACTAGTTAAAGGTTAGTCGCCTTATAATTATATTACATGAAGAGGGGAAATAATAAACAGGTATATAACCTTTATCTCCTTTGCTTGATCCTCTTCTTCAAAGTTGATCCTCAAGGTGATATATCCCTTTACCTGTACCTATTCTCCGGAGAATCCAACCAGCGATCCTTTAAAGGACCTTAGGTCTTCAGAATCGAGTCAAAGTCTTTCAAACACCTCCCAAGAGAATATGTCTTCAGAACTCTATTGGACAATGTAACTCTTTTAATTTTCCAATTTTCGCACTTGACTGTAATTACCATGAGATCGTCATTATAAATATGGATGCCAACTGCATCTTTCTCCTATAAGACGATCTTGACTTCTGGCGTTTGGAGCTCGCCTCTAGTCTTAATCTCATGGAAGTTTTCTACACTCAGGACTAATTTTCTTGCTCAGGTGAATCCTTCTGATATGATGGTATTAAGCAAGTGGTGTATTAGATACATAAAAATATCTTCTTTATTTGGGCTTGGGTTAATATAGTTTGGATTTAGTTTTCTAGTCACAACTGTCAATATATAAGATACTTGGTCCTTTTGTGACCAACAACATTCAAATGATAATACTTTCATTTACCAATGGGCTCTTTACATGTCATTCATGTATTATAGTATCAGGTGTAAACACTTCATTCCTTCTTCTTTTCCCTTATCCATTTAAAATTTGGGTTTTCTGCATTGATCATCGTTCCCAAATTCATCTTCAGTCACCATGGCTTCGGACGCTGATTCCGACCATGAAGACTCCACCACAAATAACCACAACAACAACAAAGTCAATACTAAATATTTCATCTTGAACTTCTGGAACCTCTACTACCTTTATCCCGATGAGAACCCCAATGTCGTTCTTGTGGCGCCGTCGTTGAATGATAACAACTACCTCAGCTGGAGCAAATTTATGCACCGTACCCTAATATCAAAGAACAACTTCACCCATACCATCCTTTATACCAACAACTCCACCAACAATGGTCGCATAAGAGGGAAAACTCCCAATAAAGTTTCAATGATGTGCACTCATTGGAACAAAATAAATCACACAATGGATTCTCGTTATTTTAAACATGGTTTTCCCCCTTGGT